AAGTGGCCCCAAATATATATATATATATATATATATATATATATATATATATATATATATATATATATATATATATATATATATATATATATAATTAACAAATGTATTACAGGGTAAACGCTTAAATAAAGTTTTTTGATACGAGAAAAACATACCTGTATTATAAATATATAAATCATTATACCATATTCTCTCACCCACCACTGCCGCCAAATATGTAAATATCATTCTTCACTACAGCTGATGCATGGTCACACCTCGTACAATGAAAACAGATGAATGTATTATGTACATGACCTCTAACGACCATGCTGGCAATGTGAACATTGTTATTTTCATATGTGGACAATATGACGCCCTCTGCAGGTTTTATACGTTGACAGATAGGTGTACTGTTGTAAAGTTCTATATTTATAACTTACCTCCGTGGGGGTGGTAAGCCACTTGTTTCTACTAACGTCCAGACTAGCACATCTAATGGGAAACATATAGTTAAATCTGTATTATTTAGTTGTTAATGAAGGTAGTTTGCGATGTTCATGATTAACATTATACAAAAACAATCCAAAGAATGTGTATTCTATTATTTAATCATATACAAAACCAAGAAAGTAAAACTGTGTTCGAGACTTTGTTCTGTTTATTATTGTTTTCTTATTTATTTCAAGATAACTTAGTAGATGCATGTGTGAGAAACTTACTTGTATCCAACATCCACATGTTGTTAGATGCACGTGACCTGTGAATTCCACCAAATACATATATCTTATCTTTTAATACATTTACTGTGTTGCTGAGACTTCTTGGTTCTGGTCCTTCGGTCTCACACTTTTCCCAGTTTAGGGAATCTACAAAATGTAAAGTCTTAATAAGTTCAATTGCCTGTAGTGTAGGAATTGTTACAGAGGTTTTACGATTTTTTCCCACTTGGGGTTGAATGTCGAAAAGGAATCTATCTGTACTTTTGTGAACTTTCCCCACGTGTACATAGGGCGGTGTGACACACATTCAATTGCAAAGTTTTGGTAATGTTCAAATGACTGTGCCTGGTTGACGCCACAACATCGTTTACATGGTTAGCCCTTACAAAACACCATAACGAGTAATGTCTGAGACTGTTATGTAATTCAAAAATAATATTGAACAGAACGCAATGGTTATACTGATAGTATTTACACGCTAGCATCACTCAGTCGCCTTGCATCATGAAAACAGTAACATTTTAAAATTAATTTAGCTGAAAAAATATGAATCAAAAATCTTGTATACTTACGAGGATCAAACAGATAGAGTCCCTTTAAATTTCTTATAGAAAGAAGATGATCTTTGCCACCAAACAAATAAAGATGCTTACCAATTGTACTGAAATGTGAATCAATCATAATTACACCAAAAACAAAAAATAGTAAAAAATTAAAACGTTTTAATCAACCTTGGTTTGACAAACCATGTTACATTCTAAAAAAAGAACTTTTATCAATTTCAAAACAAATATCGAAGCAACCAAACAATCCATTTATAAAGCACAGATACCATATAATTAAAAAACAATATTAATAAAAAATAAGAAGAATTTTTTTAAAAATGAAATGATAAACAAACTTGAAACTTGTGATAAAAGAGATCAGAATGAGAACTGGTCATTATTAAAACAACTATGTTGTCAACAAAACAGTCTTAATCCTGACTCAACTATAAATAGCGATGAATGGCTAGATCATTTCAGCAAACTATATAACAATAATAACAATAATGCTGATTTTAAGCAATCACTAAAATTATTAGAAGATACAAAATTATCTAACCATGAGTTAAACAATGTTATTTCATATAATGAAATTAAAAAGGCTATTAAAAATTTAAAAAACAAAAAATCAACAGCAGAAGACAGTATTTCAAATGAAATGTTAAAAACAAAAAATAGTCTGTTAATTCCATGTATACAAAAATTATTCAATTTTATTTTGGAGAGTGGCACGTATCCAACAAGTTGGAAATCC